GTATATATACATATAATATACGTATATATGCATATGTAGATAGTAGTCTGGACGAATTCTCGATGTATGCATCTCATCCTTTTTTTTTTTTTTTTTTTTTAAATAACTCCATTCTATTTGTGGGGGGCAGCACGTGCTGGGAACCAGGCCCAGCGTCCCATAGAATAACAGCACATAGCTCATAACAATATGTAGACGCACGTTCGAAAGTCCCTCAGAGATTCTTAAGAACAACTGAGACTCTCAGGGCCCTGCCAACATTGATTGGCCTAGATATCAGGTGATTGACTGCGCAGGGCCAGTCTTTTAAGTGGACATATACAGCCGGTTGGCCAGACCCATCAGGAAAGGCGGGGGGGGGGGAAAAAGCCACCTTGGGCCCGGGGTGCATTGGGACTCATGGTGCCGTTTTAATCTCCCCACTTTCCAGTTAACAGCAATGTCGGCTGTGGTTGCCAAAACAGTCCTAGGAAGATGCTCAGCTTCCTTGCGGATGAAGCAGATGAAACAAATGAAACGAGTGAAACAGATGAAACTGATGAAACAGATGATACTTAGATGCTCAGATATTGTCCCCGCAGGTTTTCCACCAGGGAGCACGGATGGGGAGGGAATGGATCAGCAAAATCCTGAGTTGGTTGTAGCAGTGCCCTAAAATCTCCCGTTGTCCACTCATGAAATTGCAGTTGGTAATCCCTTTCTGTCTCTACCCGTTGCCCCCCTTGCGACCCCATCTCCTCTTCCTGTTCATACTCCTGTTGATATTCCTGTCGTTGGTCACGTCACTGTTCATGCCCATCCGCTGCCCAGATCACCTTTGCCACCCAGTCCTCCCTCTTCCCTCCCAGCCAGTCCTCACAGAACTGGGAGATGATTCTATCCATATCCCCCCTGGTATGTGTTTGGTTCAATTTCTCCTGGGCAGCCCGCCACTGGGCGGTAATCTCACACTGTACTATTAGCCGTAGTTGCTCCGTGACTTCCCCATCCTCCACCCTGGCCCCCTCCATCTCCAGCATGCATCTTCTCCACCATATTGCCCACAAGATGGAGCGCCTACCCAGACATAACATGTTCCCCTCGAAGGTATTTCCTCGAATCTGGGGGCAGTGTCCCAGTAGAATGGCCCTCCGGTCCCATGGCCATAATGAGCCCGACACTATGTGCCACCAAAACCTATCCCACCACCGCCATAACAATACGGCCGAGGGGCATTGTAGGAAGATGTGCTCCACAGTCTCGGGGCGCCTTTTGCTGGGGTAATTCTGGAGGCATCTTCGACACCACGGCAGCACGCGTCCTCCGGCAGCCTGCGCCTAGGTCTGAGCATTCGGTATACCGGCTTGGTCGTTAGAGTAGCTAGCGCTACCGTCTTCTCCTTCCCCCCCTCTCGAATTTGCTGGGCCTTTCTGAGACCACCGCCACTCATCGGGATCAAAGGGGAAGTTCTCAATCGGGGTCATTGGCCGGTGAGCCCTCCAACCCCTCTCGTCATCAATCACTCTAATACGATAGACCTCCCCTTTCTCCATCCAAGCGAAAGGCTGGTGACTCGCTCGTAACCAACCATTTTTCTCGACGGAGAAACACTCGATCAACACTTGCGCTTGGTCTACTAAGTGCACATGCCGTACCTGTTCTCCATGGCAGGGTAGTCCTACCCAGTCCCCTTTTTCTAAGTGTGGGCCCTTTCGAAGAATAGAATACCATTGGAGGGGGAAACTGTTAATGAGTTCATCCAATTCTGACTTAGCTGGCAGTACTGCAGCCACCCTCGCATTCTTTCTACACTCTTCCATTCCCCGGCTGCCGCGTTTGAGAGGTCCCCCACCCTCCGGGCCCCATGCTTCACCCAACCCCTCCATGGGGGGTCCGAGCTGCACCTCACTCGGCCGAGGGAGTTCGTGATTAACCTATTGCCACACAGGGGCTGCCTGAACACTTCCTGCCACCTTTCTGATGCCGGTCGGTCGGGGATTGGGAGTTTCCCCCACATTCGTAGGAAGCGCAACCAATGTTCGTCCGTTGGGTCCCCACTCCTATATCTCCTTGGTATCCTCCAATACCTGTCCTCCAGCCATACCAGAGGATCAATTTCTGGTGGAGCCGCCAGATCCAGGCTCGCGATCTGTGCCAAAGTAAGGGGGACCCAGGGGGAGGATGGTGAGAAAATAAGATGTTGAAGCCAACGAAAACTGAGGGCCTGAAACTGCGTGGAGGGGTCAATGATCCCCAGTCCACCTCCAACGGGATCAATGATTCCCATGCTACTCGACCGATGGCATGGGGGTTGCCACTATCCCCTCTCCATAGGAAAGCCACCAACTGCCACTTTAGCCCCTTGAGCCCCCCATTGCTCATGAGCCATAAGATGGCATTGTACCAGAGCGTGGCCAACACCACGTTATTGATGACTAAGGCCCGCCCAGAAATTGATGTGTGATTATTGTTCCACCCCGTCAGTTTGGCCTGCGCCGGCGCCACCAGCCTTTCATCATTAGTACCAGGCTTTCCCTTTGCTGTGACTAAAGCCCACATGATCCTGAGTGGGTCATCCGGGGGAAGCCAAGTAATTCACGGGTTTTCAGGGGGTCTTCCCTCCTGATGATGCAGCGACCAGCCCATAGTCTTCTGATCCCAGTTTATAGCCATGTCCCACAGCCTACAAAAGCGGGTCATAAGGGCCCAAATTTCTTCCATGTTTTGTGCATTTGCCTCCACCATAATGGCGAGGTCGTTCGCAAAAAGGGAGCAGACCGGCATGGCCTCCTCCGGAATGTCAGCAATCTTGATCTGTGTAAGGTCCCTGTTGTGTCTGAAGTTAGCGGATAGTGGCTCCATTATAATCAGGAAAACGTAAGGGGCAATAGGGCCCCCTTTCCTAACCGACCGCTGAAGCTCAAATGGAGGAGGCACTGATTTCCTAACATGCGCACAAGTAGTGGCATTACTATGTAGAATTCTCACCCATCACCCAAAGGCAGGTCCAAAGTTCATTTTATCCAAGCATCCGTCCAAAAATTCCCAGTCAACGTGGTCATAAGCCTTTTCGAAGCCGATGAAAATAACGGCAGCATTTGCCCGGTTCCTTCGCGCCAGTCTGACCACTTCATTTACCAGCAGGATGTATGTTCTGGGCTGGGTATATTACGTCCTCCAAAACTTCTGCCATACGGTTCGCCAAAGGTTTAGAGAACATTTTATAGACAACCGTAAGAAAAGTGATAGGGCTATAGTTTCTGATGTTCATCTTATCCCCTTTTTTGTACAGTGACGACAACACCTCTTTCCCCACCACTTCTCCCATTTCCCTGGCATCCCGTACCCTCTGGTAGTACTCCCACAAGTTCGTACTCAGGTCCATCCACAAAATTCCCCAAAACTCTTTGGGGAAGCCATCAATACCGGGTGTTTTCTCTTCCTTCATCTGGAGGAGTGCTTTCCACACCTCATTTTTCGTCAATGGCCTCTCCAAATGTTCACGCTCTTGTGGGGACAGGTGCCTGTCCATAAGGGATAAAAAATCTTCCAGGTCCCTTGCCCATGCCTCCCCTCGTGGGGCTGGAATCTGGGATGTATATAATTGTTTACAAAAACTTCTTTGTGATTAATGTGCAGGGTGCGGTGTCAGTCACTATGATTTCCTCCCCTCTGTCTGAGTCATAGAATGCCTCGATCACGGTCTGCCGTGCGCGGGCTGTTGCCATACTGAAGAACTGAGTGTCCATCGTAGCTTCCTGGGTAAGCTTGGCCATTTTCCCGTGTATCCTAATTCCCCTGCCACCTATGCTGGGCATACTGAAGAAGCTGGTCCTTACACTCTCTGGATGGGTGCAGTGAGATGCTGTGAATCTACCTGCTGTTCGAGGTCTAGCAACTCCTTGTGGATGGCCATTTCCTGTTGTAGTCGCAGGGCCGCTTTGGCCTTGGAGAGCTCCGTAGACTTCCGGGCAAGAAAAAACAGACCATTGTTGTTGTGTAGTTTTTTTTTTCTTTTTTTGTTGAAAGACCCCAGCTTATTAATCAAGCTTCTAACAGAGGGTGAGTTCTCTGCCAAAGGTTGGATCGTCAGTCCAACCCGTGGCCGTTGGATTGACGGGGAGGTGATGAATGGCCTTGAGGTATAAGCACCGAACTAACTCATGGTTATCGTTCAAGGTCGTTAAAAAAGGAAATCGGGTTAACCGCTGCACACACAAGGTTTCATTTTCTGTCTGCACTGGTTGGCCCGATTTCCTTTTTGAATGGCCTTGAGGTATAACGATGGAACTAACCAGGCCCAGATAATTCTGTGTGTTTTTTTATTCTCTGATCCCTTCAGGATTCAAACTGAGGACTGTTTATCAACAGTTCTTGGATGTACCACCATTCAACCGCATGGGCTACCGTCTTCCCCCGAACATAACGCACCCTAAAAATGAATGTATACAAGCTATATTTCTGGCCAGATACAGCCAAAATAAGGGTGCGTTGTGTTCGGGGGAAGACGGTAGGTGGTGTATGAAAACGGAGTCCTAAATAGCTTCACCAGTCTGCTTCCCCGTCGCTTCGCCCCTTCCCCCCCCCCCCCCCCGTTTTTTTTGAAGGTAATTCGGCAGAAGTAATGAAGGTCTTCCTAACTCTCTCTCTCCCTCTCCCTCTCCCTCTCTCTCTCTCTCTATATATATATATTTAATTGCCTTCTTTTTTAATGTCTTCTCAGTTTTGCGTAATCCAAATGACGAGCTGGTATACCCACGTTTATCTTGACTGTATCGAATCGGAAAGGTAGCTTGTATGCATTCATGATGAGGGTGCGTTGCAATCAGGCGAATGCAGTGCCATGGAGTGGGAACATCTTTGCAGGGATTGTCGTGTGAATTCGAAGTTTCAGAATCTCTCTCTCTCCTTCTTTTTACTTTTTGGTTGAATCTCTCTTTTGACTTATCGATCCCTATTTTGTTTTTTTTCCCCCCCTGCTGCGGGCTGATTCTGGTCATGCTGGTGCTCACTTATATCAGGGCGTAGCCGAGATGTCATCACAGATGAAGGAGTTATTCCAACAGATCGATGAAGATGGAAACCTGACTGCTCTGATGCAAGGCTTGAGGGGAACAAACACCTATGATGAATTCGCTCCAGGTGTGTTCTTGTTCTTCGTCTTCTGCTACTCGTTTCTTCTCAGTTTCCTGTGTTACTTGTTTCTTCCTCTTCCTCTTCCCTCCCCCTCCTCCTCCTCCTCTTCCTCCTCCTGCTGCTGCTCCTCCTGGTCCTTTTGAATCACATGAGGTTTCATTCTCCTCCTTCTCCCCCATCCCCCTCCTCCTCCTGCCTTTGCTGCTGCTGCTCCTCCTGGTCCTCTTTCCAATCACGTGGCCTTTCATTCTCCTCCTCCTCCTCTCCCTCTTTCTCCTTCCTCTACTCCACCACCACCTCCTCCTCTTCTCCCTCCTGGTTCCTCTTCTCCACCACCACCTCGACCTCCACCTCCACCTCCACCTCCACCTCCACAGCCACCCCAGGAAAACAGTCTAACAGTGTGCACATTGGAAGTTTTGAGATAGTCTTTAGAGGTTGCCCTCTTGATTGCAAAGAGAGGCCTTGTTGTTGTTGTTGTTGTTATTGTTGTTGTTGTTGTTATTCGTTATTCGTTGTGCATTATTCAGTCATTTTGTTGTTCAGGCACCTCTGTAGATTGAGTCCACACCCGTTGTGTTTGCGTGTTTTTTGTTGCATTTTGTGTTTGTGTTTGTGTTTGTGTGTAGCACGTTTGTGTGCGCGCACATGGGTGCATGTACGGGTGTGACTCTGTGTGTGTGTGTGTGTGTGTGTGTGTGTGTGTGTGTGTGTGTGTGTGTGTGTGTAGTTAGCATTGAGTGATAAGGCTCAAGCCTCAAAGCATGGAGCAGAAGAGCAACGCAAAAGCCAAACAAGTGTTGAATTCGGTCTGAAAAAGATTATCCTATTCACACATGTTTGATCATGTCTCCTCATGAGGCTCAAAGCATCACCCTCCAACAGACATACACACACACACACACACACACAGTCATGCTTTTTTGTGTGGAGTTGTGCATAGCGAACATGACAACTCTCTCTCTCTCTCTCTCTCTCTCTCTCTCTCTCTCTCTCTCTCTCTCTCTCTCTCTCTCTCTCTCTCTCTCTCTCTCNCTCTCTCTCTCTCTCTCTCTCTCTCTCTCTCTCTCTCTCTCTCTCTCTCTCTCTCTCTCTCTCTCTCTCTCTCTCTCTCTCTCGCTCTTGCTCTCCTCCCCTTCCCCCCTCCTCCCCTTCTTCACCCCCCTTCACCCCCCCCGGTGTCCAGTCATGCTTTTTTTTTCTCGTGGAGTTGTGTCTAGGGAACATGACAATAACACACACATACACACATTCTCTCTCTCTCTCGCTCGCTCTCGTCCTTCTCTTCCGCCCTCCCGCCGTGTAGAATTACTAAACGCGTACAAAGCATAACTAAGAGAACAAAAAAAAAAAAAGGTGCATGTTTAGTGAAAGGTAAATGGGGGGGCTTGCACCATTCAGAATAACAACAATTCAACGGCTGTCTCATAAGAGCATTACATTTAGCGAAACATTTAATTTATCATAACCTTCCATGTCTGTACCTAGCATGTGTGTAGCATGTCCGCACCTAGCGTGTCCGTACCTAGTGTGTCCGTACCTACCTAGCCTTCCTATGCAGAGTTGTCCTCTTATATGTACCTTTCTTTGTCCGGAGCTACCTTTATTTGGTCCCAAGCTCTTCTCCAATATGCTCTGATCTCCGCGTTCACATCTATCCTGATCTCTTGTACTGTCTTCACCTAAACGGGTCATACCGGTCATTATCGCTGTATCTGGACTACAGTTGGCCCATATTCATCCCTGTTGATCGTATTTTCGTTTTCAGGGGAAGATCGTAGCAGACATTCGGGACTCTGTCTGTACGTCAGAATGATCAAAGTAACTTGACCCAATGTCCACAGTCAAGGCTGTGGGAACAAATTTAATAAAAAGTTATTATAGAACGGACTCCACCAAGTACAAGGGGGAATGGGGGTGTCATTCAGAGTCAGCAGCTTAAAAAAAAAATACCAAAGCCCCCTTCTATTCTGGGGGGGCATCAGTCCGTTTGCTTATCACAAGCAAGCAGCGGTTTTGCTATCCTTTTTTTTTTTTTTGTGTTGGGGGGGGGTTGGAAGGGGGGAACAATCCTCCAATCTATTCGTGGGGAACATAATGCAGTTCTGGCAACGGACCCGTACATCAATAATGGGCAGGGCCCCTCGTTTGCTGTCCTCTTCTCTCTCTCTGCCTACGGTTTACCGGGCAGTTCTGTTTGTGACGATATATATATACTTTGATTTTGGTTAAGGTGGATTATCACTTACAGTGTAATCAGTGAGGGGATTCTACAGACTGTTGAGGGTTCAGCCTCCTGATG